ATCTTATTTCACTCTGGAATAAACAAAGCAGGCTTTGGCAGGAGTGGCAGGCTATAACCCGCGCCTGTCTTCACACCCATGCAAATCAGTTTACACAGGCAAAAAAAAGCCAGTGCAAAATAAAAAATTTTGGTAATAATAAAGTTAAATATTTTTATGTTTTTATTTAGTTATTCTTTTAAAAACTTCTCAAATGATATAATATTGTAAAACTGTTTGTTTTACTCGTTAAAAAACAAAACTATTTCATTCAGGATATGGTAAAAAAATTATGAAAAAAATAATTTTTGAATATTCTGATGTAAAAATAAAAAATAAAAAATCAAACAAATTATTTCAAACAGCTACAACTGTTCCATATTATTCTGTGTTATGTTAAAAGATAAATAATTAGTATGTTAAAAAGCAGACAAAATATGCATGTGTTGCAAAAGAATTTGACATAATAGTCCGGGTTTTTAGTATTCTTTGGAAATTTGCAAAGTTAAATAATAACAATTGTTAGATAATAAAGACAATTTATTTTTTGTATCACAAATTTTGCTTAATTAATTGATAAACTAGTTTGTCATACTTTAAAGTTGTTTAAAGTCCATAAAGTACACTTTTTTTTTGTCCCCCATATTTCCCGCATTTTGCAATATGCTTTTTTGAGTACCCTCCACCTCCCTAAAAGTACCTACGCTTTTAGCCTATTTATCTAACATTTTATGATATCTTTTTAAATTTAGTGTCTCCTTTCTTTTATAATTGACCCAATGCCCTCCCATCTCATATACGCCATTTGTAGACTCCCTCTTCCCATCAGAGTGTACGTACTTTATGGACAATACCTTAAGTATCTATTGAATCTCTGCATAAAGTTTACCTCCATCGTAATAAATAAATGGAACTGTTCTTTGAGATTGTGTAATAGGAAATTCTATTTCAACTGCACCTGCTGAATTACATAACTAAGTGTCTTTGCATAATTTAATAGATAATTCAGGGCATGTTTAGCTTTTGTAACAAAAAAGTTTTTTAACTTTTTTCTGTTCTTGAACCATCTTTTCATGAGTTCTATTTTTTACATTAAATTGAGAACACAGCCAGCCAACTAAATTGAGAACACAGCTAGCTATCTTTAAAATATGTTAATTTTTTTTTTTTAATATCTGGAAAAGAAAAATAGCACAAACAAAATGAATGTTTTAGGACAATACCGATCAAGTCTGTATTTCTTGTATGAAACACAAAAGAATTTAATGTTTATTTATAAATTTTTATTTAATAACTTTTATAGGACTTTAGGTAAATCATAAATATAGTTTATGTGCTATCAATCAGGGTCATGTAAAATACAATGAGATAAAAAAAAAAAAACAGAAATGTACTTTTTTTTTTATAATTTTAGATACAAAAAAAAAGGATTCAAAATGTGAAACCTTTATAAAATTATTAAATATTAAAAACAAGAAGTAATAAGAATATAATAAAGTTTTAAAATTATTTAAAATACTAATTTAAAAATGATTAACAAAAAAATTAATGAATATGTATAATTTTGAACTTGACAATCTAGTTTTTTATAAAGCATTTTATAGAGTTTAAATCCAAGAATTGAGATAGCCTCTTATATTTGAAGCAGAAAACCATTGCTTAAATTTAGATGTGAGTTAGGGGTAATAGTGCAGAGGGTAATAAAATTTTAAAACTTATCATTGATAAACCAAAATCACCTAACTTTATCAAAAAAGTACAACACTAACTTTGCAGATAAAGATATCAAAATAAAAACTGAACACAAAATGAATAGAAAAATTATAACTGAATAGAAACAACCCTTTCATCTTCTTGTGCAGCTGCTATATCTAACTGTAATCATTTTTAAAAATCTTTTTCAAAAGAACAACTCTCTTAAGAAAAAACAGCTATTTAATATTGCAAGAAATTGATGTAAAAAAGGTATTGTCAGATGCTAAGCTCCATTATTCTCAGTTAACTGAATTTCATATCTTATCTCAGAAGTTAGGCTCTAGAGACCTTTGGAAAATCTTAAACAGCATTGTTAACAAAGGTAGGTCTAACGTTTCATCTCTCATTCATGGGACTGATCTTATTACCAAGGATAAGACAAAGCTATTTCAAAAGAGCTTTTCTTCTAATTCGACTCTCGAATCTTACGGCCATTCTCTTCCTTCCATTCCAATTAAACAGGATAGCCCATTATTAGACTTTCAAATCACTCTAGCTTTGGTTGCTTAAGCCACATCCCGATCAAACTTTTCTATAGCTAGTGGTCCAAACAACATTCCTGTCTTACAAGTCTACCAAGTCTTACAAAATTGAGTCTTGACTGCTTAGAACAGGCAGCAGATCTTGAATCTGATCTCACTTCTGTAGCAGATTGGGGTTCACAGTGAATAGTAAATTTTAGCTCCAAGGAAATTTAGTCATTTACTGCAAACAACTATCGTAATACAGTCAACATTCCTATATTAATGAATGGCAACCCATACACTGAATAAACAACATATGAGTCTACTTCTTTACACCTTATTGAATTATTGTTTACTACTAACCTTTCATGAAAACCATATATACAATTGGTTGCTAAATTAGCATCTGCTATGGTTGCTTCTCTTTATCTTGCTTGTCATTTTCTCTCTCCTGATTCCATGCTCTATCTCAGTGATTCCTAAAGGAGTCTATGACAACCTGCAAGGGGTCTACGTCAGCGGAATAATTATTTGGGAGTCTATGAAATGAAAATGGGGGTCCACGATAGTGGATCTCAACATACACTGATATTACCTATTTACTTACATTATACTTCCCCACTGACTCATTAAATTTAATCAATTGCGACTGCAAAATGATCGCGGCAGAGCAGACATGCGCAAAGTACTGCCATACGTGACTAGCTGATTGACTAAACTTGTTAACCGCATTTGTTCATTAAAAATTGAGTTCCTCAGCTTAAAAAGAATTATAAAAGTACTGAATATTTTCACAATACATTTAATTACAAAGTCTTTTTAAACTGTTGTTGCTCTCCTACTTGAAATTCAATGCCATTAAAATTTTTATATTCGACGACATTATTATTCACAAAGAAGAAAAGAAATAAAAGAGTTCTTATAACAATAGAAAAAATTTAATGACTGTTGACGTGATTGATATAATACGGTTGTGTTTTTAATAAAATTATAGTGAATCAGCGTTATTTTGTTTGAGAGTGCCACAGAAAAGTAAGTACAAATTTTTTTATTACATTTTAGTTTTGTAATAGTAGTTAGCAAAGATAAATAAATTACGTGAATCATGGCTTCAGTTATTGGTAGTTTAGTATTTAAATCATGTGAAATTACATGAGTACATTACATAAGTAATATTCATAGTATTGTTTTGGCATTCATTTATAATGGCTGTACACCTATGCATAACATAAATTCTAAGACGATACAATTTAAATTTGACTTTGATTTTTAAATGCTGAGCTTTATGCTTTATAAATAGAATAATATTGCCCACAGATAACTGATGCCATGCCCAAATGTAAAAAGAAATGTAGGCAGTACAGTGTTGATTATTTGAAGTTTGGCTTCATTCCATCTTGATGGACAAACACTTGCCTGTGTCTTTTATGCAACAAAATTTTAGGGAATGACGCTATGAAACCATCTAAGCTGAAGGATCATCTGAAAAGATGTCACCCTGATAAAACAGATAAAGATTTGAAAATTTAATAAAATTGAAAAAAGACATGGCCTATTTATAAGATTTGTTTGCAAAATTTAATATAGTTACCTTGCAGTTACAAGGTGACAATCTAAATTTGATTAAAACAAAATCTATCTTATCAGCATTTCTTGCTAGAGTTAAACTAATGAAGCAAAATATTGGATGGGGCGAACTTTCCCAGTTCCCTAGTTTCTCACAGACAATCTGTCTGGAAGACAACATTTCAATCTACGTTCAACATTTAAATGCCCTCTATTCAGATTTCGAAACTAGGTTTGAGGATGTTTTGACTATGGTAATACCACCGTGGATTATTAACCCATATGGTGAGATAGAAGAAACAATTGTCATAACACAAGAGGAACTGATTGCACTAAGTACAAACAAAGAACTTAAGGTTTAGTTTAAAAACGGATATCAGCAATTCTGGATGCAAAACATCATACCCTTTAAGATAAAATTATCTAAGAAGTTTGTATATAGAACTGCTCCAACCATGTTAACCTTTAAGCATACAAAAAAAAAATTTAAGTAATTTGAGTATTATTTGCCTTATTTAAATCTTAAACTAAAACATAAATTGAGATATTGCCATTAAAGTTAAATTTAGTAGCTTAAATGATTTTTAAATATTTCCAAAAAAAAAAAAACACACCCCTGCATTTTTTTTCCTCAAAAAAAAAACGTCAAAAAAACCCCCCAAAAAAAAAACAAGAACCAAAAAAATGCATCACATCTCTCTCTCTTTTTCAAGAGTAGAAATTATTCAGTTTACGCAGTAGTTATAAAACACTTTAAAAATATTTAAAGTTTACGCAGTAGTTATAAAAAAATTTAAAACATGGAAAAAACTCCAAATCATCTGAAAAAATTCAGTACAAGTCTAAATCCATTTTTATTAAGGTAAAATGAGAAATACTAAAACAACTATAAAAAACTTATACCACTGACATTAAGTGGTTAGCATCCAAAACATTATATTATTATAAAAAGACTAAAATCTGAGAATTATTCAAAACATCCATAAACATCCAGATAAACAATCCAATCTAAAATCCTAACCTTATAATAAAAAGTTATTCAACTAAAGATTTGGTAAAAGCTATATAAGAAAGCATATGCGCTTTATAAACACATACATACATCATTTAATTTTTTTAACTTTTTACTAATATTATTATTATTATTTATTATCATTATTACTATTGTTATTATTATTATTGTTATTACTATTATCACCATCATTATTACCATTATTATTGTAATCAATTGGTTACCTTGCAACATGCACACGATGAGCTAAGAAGAGCAAATGAAGCAATGTGAGCTGTTTCTGACAGTGTACTTGGTCTTTGCATTGGATTCATAATTTTATTGAACTTATTTATATAATATTCTATGCTAACACAAGACAAATCATATTCAGTATATTATATGTAATATATGATACATTTATTAAGCAGAACCTATTATATTCATTTTATAATTTATATATATTATTTTATATTATAAATATAATAATTATAAATATATAAATGTAAACATAATAATTAAAAACATATAAATCATACGCATGTAACAAGCAATATATCTATACAAATAACCGATTTTAATTTTAATAATAATTAAATACAAGATAATGAAATGCAATCATTTTCTCGACAATATAAGCATATACCATAACCTACACGTATCCAACTATAATATTGGTTATGTCGTTGAAGAAAAATAAATATTAATCACAAATTACTAAATCAATAAATCACAAATTACTTGTTTATTTTATTTCCATTAAAAATTCCAAATAAAATTAATTAAAATCAATTGTTATTTTCTAAAGTTGAAAGATGTTTTCAGAATATTATTTATATTCCTTTCTTTTAATGTTTTAGAACCTGAATTTCAATTTTCAGCAATCTTAATTAACCGTAAATAAAAGTCGAATATAATTTTTTACAAATTTATGTTTTCGCTTTATTTGGCAAAGAGTTAGAGCCGGACCATTATTCCCCACCGCCGTTCACAATATCATAGTTACCGTAAAACTTGCGGTAAAAAAAATTTAATCACTCCTTAAACGTGTTGAGGCAACCTAAAAATCTAGCGCCGTTTATTTTTATTAAAATGTGTTAAGCAAACGTTTGTGAATCATTTGGAAATCATTTGTGGCCTCGTGACATAATTGAGAACTCTAGGATAATAATAATTTTTTTTTTAAATTAAAAATGTCCAGCAATCATTTGTGAATTAAATGTGGATCATTTGCGGCCTCGTGACATAATTGCGAACTCTGAATACAGTTTTCGCATTAATAGGATAATAATTATTGACAGTTTAACCGCAAAGTATAATATTGACAAAAATCTATTTAAAAAAATATAAGGTTGTGTTATATTTTTATATTTGGTCGTAAAAATTGCTCTGTGACAAGACCGTTAGGTTTTCTCGGGGCACCTAAAACAAAAAAAAAAATTAAATTAAAAAAAAATAATAATAATTGCATATGAGAATCTGATAAAAACTACGCTTTTTATTATTTAAAACCTTTCATTTTTTTAATAACATTGATACTCAAATAATAAACTTTTACGCTGGCGTAAGTTATGCATTTTTTATTTTGTAAAACATTGCTTATCCGAGTCTTCTCTTATTGAATCCAAAGTCATCTCTTATTTTAAAGCATTAAAATTCCAAATAATAGAATTGATTCAATGTGTCCAATATGATCATTCATTGACAGGTTTTCACCAATATGAATACCAAGAAACTTTGTTTATTTTTCCATTTATATTGTTAATTGTTAAAAAACACCGCTAAATTAGAGTTAAAATATCAACACAAGATTTATTGGTTTAGCTGAAATAAAGTATACATTAAAATTAATTTGTTTCACATTTGGAAGATAAGTTATTTGAATCACAAGTTAATTTAAGACTCGTCATTCTGAACAACGAATTCAGCTAGTATGCTTATAAAACAAAGTTTGAAATATATTGTGTTAGTTAAGTGATACCGTACTTCGTCAATTATCTATTTAAGTTAAATTTTGTAACTTAATAAAGTTTTTTAAACTAATTTCATTAAATATAAAATATTTCAAAATGTTAAATTTAAAAAAAAGTATAATTGGTTAACCCTGAAACTACATTATAAGTGCAATACCGAAGTAGGCATAGGCGGATACGCTAACTATTCTCAGCATAGAAATGCTGAAAATAGTTAGCGTATGCGGTTTGACTATTTATGTTGTTTATTTTATACTTTTATTTTATGTTTTTCTGTTAAAAAAGTTTTTTAAAGCAGTTGTTGACAATACGTTTATGATTAAGAATACTAATCATTTATGACATATTCTGATTTTCCAGACGTAGGTTAATCATAGATTGAAATAGAAGCGATTATGTGTCAAACTTTTGAAACCATGTAGTTTTAGAAACCATAGTCAACTTTTTTGAAACCATAAATTATTTTATACTGTTGTAAAGGATATACGCGTTTCCTTCTGGTTTTCAGAGTGATTAATTGTAGTTTTTATGCAATAAACACAGCAAGAAATTTATCACATTTGTCTATTTTCATCAAACTAACTTCCTCTCAACTTCCTCTTTTTGTATGTTCAATTATTAATTTATATAATATTACAAGCCTCAAATATTCATATTAAAAACTGTGTAAATATATTTAAAATAGTTACTAATTAAAAACTTTACTTATCGCAAACCACGTAATCGTCAGCAGCTGTTTCAAAGTTTTCCACAATATATTTACACTTCTTCTTGATTACATAAACATCAGCCGTGTAAGACATCAGTCATGACTATCATAGTATCGTCCGCTGTATATCATATCTAAACGTTTTATGTTTTATTCGATCGATCATCATTCCACGATCTTTCCTACAATCCACGAGCAGCCGTGGCGCAGTGGATACTTGCCTCGGAAATTAAGGTTCAAAACCCACCTTTGGGAAAGTTTTGCGACATTGACTTAAATATATCAAATACATTGATAAACAATCTTAATGAATATAAAACAAAGAGTAAGAATAAATGATGAATTTAGCTATTACACTGATATGCTATACGGGGTTCCGCAAGGTTTGATTCTTGAACCTCTGTTATATAACATTTTTATATGTGATTTATTTATTTTCCTTCTTGACGTTGAAGTTGTTGGATATGCAGATATGTTGGATATGCAGAAAAGACGTTACTTCTGTAACTACCAACCTCCAAAAAGCTGCAAATCAATTGTTAATATGTTTTGAAAATAATGGAATGAAGGCAAATCCTGAAAAATATCACCTTATCATTAGCAATTATAGTAACCTTGAAGTTATTATTTCTAATTTAACAATTAAAACATTTGAAAATGTTAAATTACTCGAAATAAAACTCAACAACAAACTTTCTTTCAAAGAGCATGTGAGCACTTAATGCAAATATGCCAGCAGAAAAGTAAACGCACTTTTAAGAATTGCATCATATATATCTTTCAACCAACGTACCCAGTAAGAAAGCAACGTTGAGCCATTGTTGTAAATTGGTTAGATTTTTGTCGCGACGCAAGTTAACTAAATTCCAACGATGTTCCAACGTCGGCATACCGGTATTATTATAGCGTTTGTCTATCAAACGTTGGAGCAACGTCGAAAAAACGTTATCATCTAACGTCTTGAATGTTAACATTAAAACGACGTTGTAACAACGTTAATTGTTTAACGTAAAACCAACTTTAGTCTAATTAACGTTAGAACGACGTTGGAACAGAGTTGCTTTTTTTATGTTTTTACTTTTGACATCAAAGCAACGTCAGCATTCCAACGTAAACACAACTTGATTTTACAAAACAAACATTTCAAGTTGTGTTTACGTTATAGTGCTGACATTGTTTTGATCAAAAGTGAAAACGTAAACGCGAGATTGTTTCAAAATTGTTCTAACGTTAATCCGACTAACGTTGGTTTTACGTTAAACAACCAACGTTGTTCCAACGTCGTTTTAATGTTTTAATGTTAACGTTCAAGACGATAATGATAACGTTTTCCCAACGTTGTTCCAACGTTTAATAGACAAACATTAGAATGAAAGTGTTATGCCGACGTTGAAACATCGTTGGAATTTAGTTAACTTGCGTCGCGACCAAAATTCAACCAAATTATAACAACGGCTCGACGTCTTTTTCTTGAATGCCCATGTAAATAATGCATTGTTTTTACTAAAGATGTCGGGTACATCGATAGACTAAAGTAAAATGAAATTTATATATATATATATATATATATATATATATATATATATATATATATATATATATATATATATATATATATATATATTATCATTATTATTATTATTATTATTATTATTATTATTATTATTATTATTATTATAAATTTTTTTTTTTTTTTTATTAATAAAACTTTTTTTTTTTTTTTTTTTAATAAAACTGCTTAGTGTTTAGTTGATGGCACTTGGAAGACCTAGGAAACTGTTACCTACCCTGTGATTCAGGAGTGAGTGTTGAAAACGCCCTTTTTGACACAAATGCTTCTAATTCCTGGAGGAAGAATTTGGCTTGTATCTTATTGGAGATTTTACTAGGCAAAATGGTGTTCCACTTCGCTTGTCAACACCGTGTATTGGAAAGAATTTTGTAAGTAGTTTGGTAGAAATTATTCGGTGCAATATCCAGTCCAGATACACCAGAATTTAAGGATTTTTTAGCAGCATTAGGGCTCACTTGTTTACAAAACACTAAAATTTCCGACCACAGACTGAAACATCAGCAAGAAGTAGTTATTGCTTTTTTGCGTGAAAAGCTGTATTTGTCTGAATCTGATGGTGCATCAGAAGATGCGATGTCTTGTGGCGACTATCGGGAAAGTGCCAAGCTTTTTTTTTAAATTTTTTATTTTAGTTGCACCCAAGAGGTCTTTACGGTCTTATCACAGAGCACCGCGGAAGAGCATTTGAAAGGAGGTTTATGCCTCTTTCCTTACCAATTTTATAAAATTTGCCCAAAGGTGGCGTTGAACCACGGATCTCTAGTTTCTGAGGCAAGCGCGCTAAACACTGCACTACGGCTACTAAATACTGCGCTACGCGCTACTTGCTGATACTTCTGGGAGAAGTATCAGCAAGTAACATTAAAACATTTTAATAGCGGTTAAACCGCTATTAAAACATTTTAATAGCGGTTTCTCTGTGACAAGACCTGATGGTCTTGTCACAGAGAAACCGCTATTAAAATGTTTTTTTTTTAGTTTTTTTTTATTTTTCAATGCTTTCATTATTCATATTTACTTATTTTTATTCAACTTCTTTTTATTACAAAATTAAATTTAATAATAAAAGTGTATAAAGTTCGTAATATAATATTATAAATAAACATACAATATTAC